ATATAGGAAATTAAAGAGCGTGCAATTTTGCAAAAGCTCCTAGCAGAGGAATTTAGCAATAGTACAACATTCCTTTATAGCTACAGTGTAAGATCGAGAAAGGAGTACTAAAAAAAGTATTTATATTCAAATATGACACAAGAGAAAAAGACTATCTAGAAAAAGGTTTTTTGCCATGATAATGTTGATATCTTTTGCATCATTAGAGCTATAGGAAGTGTGTATTAGCAAGTACATAATAGAAAATGCCAAAATATAGATTTTTAACAAATACTTGTACAAAACAAATAACAGGCTGTAAAATCATTGCACCTTATTCAAAACAAGATTAGAAAAGACCCTTTGAATATGGCAAAATGCTTCAGAGCAGAGAATACGAAGTTCATCAAGATGCCTACAGGTATACATCATACATACATCATATGACCAAGGCACATGTGTGTGCAGCTCCAGGACTACAAGCACTACTACAAATGCCATTAGCAAAATATCTACAGGTAAGAAAAAAACTTCAGAACATGGCATACTTGAATATAATGATAAAGGTGGTGAGCTCACTGCAATGTATTGACTCAATTACTGCAGTAGAAATCGGAGAGACTGTTCTGATACAGTGTGTTAGCCTTTACGACCTAGAAAGAAAGAAAGTAAAGTGGAATGATAAAATTTACCTGCTTCAGATGTAATAGTTTTGCTCCACAGGTCTCATACATTCTATGTACTGTATTCTACCTTAAGTTGGCTGATTACCTTGATTAGGACCAAAAAACCTTAACTTTGAACTATGAGGCAAAAGGTATAAAAGAGAACGATGTGAATTTTTAGAGAAAAGTTTTTGAAAACAATTTGTCATGAATGTTTTGATATGAAAGTATACACTCTTTTTTCTTTTTTTCATATTTTAAAACACATGCAAGCTTTAAAAAATAGAAAAGAGTCACAGGAATATTGGAGAAATGAGTAAAGGAGTGCAATGGTACTTTCATGAAGCCTAATAGAAATTGGCAAGTAACACACTGTAATATTAAGGAAGCCAGAACCCACTTAGCAACATGCTAGTCAGAACTGTGGTGAGTCACATCAATCACTAAATGTGGTATTTGTGACAAACTATTTCCCCAAACAGACCCTGCTTCTACAGGTCTTCAGCTATGTGCATTTTAATGAGTTGAAGTCTCAAATAAATAACAATTCTGTAACAGTCTGTTGTGGTCTGAGATTTAAATCAGGAACCCAGGAGTTAATCAGAGGCAAGAACTACATTAGAGGCATGTAAAGTCTACCACAGAATTGGAAATAACCTCGGTAGGATGACAGCCTGTGAGTGCAGTGCCGTCTGTATCTGGAGTGAGGGCGCTGCATCTACAGGCTCCCCTTGATCGAGTGCCTTGTAGTAAATTCCAACCACAAGGTTGATTTTGCCGAAATTACTGTCCACTCTGGTTTTTCTCCTGCGACAAGTGTTCCATCTATTCAATGATCACACCAAGCTGCCACTTACTGTGGTATGTTTGTATCCCACAAAGCCATCCCTGTCCTGGGCTGCATCCAAAGCCCCTGGGCAGCACAGTGAGAGAGGCAATTCTGCCCCTCTGCTCTGCTCTCATGAGACCCCAGCTGCAGTGCTGCATCCAACTCTGGGGTCCTCAGGACAGGAAAGATATGGATCTATTGGAGCAGGTCCAGAAGAGACCACAAAGAGGGTCAGAGGTCTGGGACACCTCCCCTGTGAAGACAAGCTGAGTGAATTGAGACAGTTCAGTCTGCAGAAGAGATGGCTCTGGGGAGACCTTAGAGCAGCATTTTGGTACTTGAAGGGGGCTTATAAGAAAGATGGGAACACACATTTCGCAAGAGCTGTTGTGATAGGACAAGAGGTAATAGCTTTAAGTAAAAGATAGTGTAACCAACAAGATAGTAGACTCAGATTAGATATAAAGAAATTCTTTATAGTGAGTGTGGTGAAACACTAGACCAGGTTGCTCAGAGAGATAATAGAGGCCCTTTCCTTGAAAACATTCAAGGTCAGTTTTGATGGAGCTCTGAGCAACCTGAGCTAGTTGAAGATATCCCTGCTCTTTGCAGAGTTGGATCAGACGACCCTTCCAAACCCAAAGCATTCAATGATTCCATGAAAATGACAAATATTTAGTTGTACTTGCAATATTTGTTTTAGTTGTAGTTGAAATACTTGGAACAAAGACTTAAGAGTGAAATTACTGCTTGCAATCATTGCTTATGTTGATCCAACAACTAAAGAAAATATAAATCAATTAACGTGTACAGAATCCATATTCCAGGGAGAAGGCACAGCTCAGTTTCTTCCTCTTTACACATGGTCCCCTCACAGCCTGGTACAAGAAAGTGAATCTCACTCCTGAGAGTGAAGATACCAACACATCCTAATGCTTCTAGCACATATGAATATTAATTTTGGCACCTACAACTTTAGCTCATAGATAGGCAGGCACACTGTCAGGTCAAATAACTGGTGCTTAAAAAGGAGCAAAGGATATTAGTCTGATATGGGTCCTGACTGATGCCCACCTACCAAAATAACTTCCTGAGACTACCACATGCATTTAACAGCAAAGCAGACGTGTACTGTTAGAGAGAAAACACATTTAAGTAAGGAGTTTTAAAAGTTTGGACTCTGGACTTTTCAATATTCATGAATCCTACAGCTAATACCTACCGGGCAGCTCCTTGAGCAAGCTGCTTTTCAAGCTTTGCATAGATTTCAGCAGTAAGAAAGCAATCAATCCTTAAGAAGATGGTGTTTCCTGCCTTTCCTGGACAGTAAAAGTGATGCTCAGCAGGCTTTTCCCAGCTAACCACATCCTAAGCTGCTTTCTAGGGCCCAAGGCTCATAATTTCCCATCCTTTCTACCTTCATTTTATTGCATCCTAGTGAATTTCTTTGGAGAAAACAATATCCTGCACTTGTTATGTGCAGGTTTGAGTTTGAACAATAGGGTACAACGTGGATAATTTTGTAATTCCTATATTATTACAGACTTGGAGAGAACCAAGTCTTCAGACTTCCAGTAAGTCTTTCTCTGTTGAAAACCAGAGGGAATTGGTATAATTTGGAAAAAAATACTGTGGTTTCTTGAAACATCAAATGTTTATTTAATCAGTTACCAGGGAGAATATGACTCTTTCCAAGAAAGGTGCATTGTGTTTTACACAATTTGTAGTAACATAGTTAGCTTTCTGTCTGAGGTCCTGCATGTTTTAGTGTGATTTTTAGTACATTTAGGCTTAACTGACAAAACAGGGATTTTTATTTTTTTTTTTGCTCCAGGTCACTCAAGAAAGATTACACTCCTACATATTGTTCTGTGTCAGAGTTGTATGTGCCTGCCTGTTTCACAACAGATGGCTGCATTTCAGTACATTTATATAGAAGACATATATGGAAGGTTGAAAAAAAACATTCGTTTTAATTCAACTTCTTCCAGCTGCTTGTATGCTTTAGTTGTATCAATTGAGCTTGATGTCATGCAAAAGAACGTTTTAAATAGAACTTGGAAAATTTTTTTCTGTTCATTCTGGATCAAGATTTATTTGGAATGGTTGTACAGAGAGTGCAAATCGAGTGTTTCATATTGTAACATACCAGACATTAATTCATGGAGTATTGAAATCTGTGAAATATAATAAGGAATAAGATACCTTAAAACATAGTCTTTTGGCTTTCAGGGTGAAAGAGCACTTGCAGTTCTGAGAAGGCAGCCTTAACCTCTGCTTCCAAGCTTTGAGTGAGCATTTCTCATGCTGGTTTACCTTTTCAGAGTTTTTTTCCTCCCTGTACTGAAAGGATATGAGTAAGATACATCGCAGATTTTTTTCCCCAAGAAATACAAAAGTAAACATATGGTTATTCAATTCATAGATATAACAGTATTTTCAGTAGATCATCAAAGTTCCTTATCAGCTTTTCCAGTAAACGTTGATTTAAAATGCTACTTTATGGGTTTGGCTTCAGTGATTTAGTAATTTTACTCAGCTTTGCCCTTGTGCTGTGTGACAGAGAAGAGCTGGTCTGGCTCTTCCTCCGGGCTTCTGTCACCCAAGATTCATTGATGAGACACCTAAGGACTAATAAGGAAGCGATGTAAAGCCTCAAAGCTAAAGAACAGAGAGAATCATGACCTAGTATAACAAATGCTTCCTCTGAAAAAATAGAAAAATAGGCTTGAGCAAGGCCTTTTAAACTTTGCTTCTCTTTCCTGTTTTAGAACAGGGAGAATCCCAAACCAACTTACAGTCGCACATCTGGGCAACTCATCAGAAATACGGGTTTCTGGCTGGTATTTATAAAGCGATTTGTGTTTGTCCTAGAGGCACAAGTACAAATACAGAACGCTGGATAGAGGATACTGCTGTTTGGGGGACGGAAAAAAGAAAATAAAATCGCGTTTGCATTCCTTTCAACACAAGATCTGCCTTTCTCCGTAACATCTGACAGAAAAGGGAAGGACGCCGTCGTGGATCCCCGACCCCTCTCACAGATCTTATGGCCCCGGGGAGGGCCTCGAAGGGGACTGGTGTGTCGGAAGGGTCGCTGTGGGGTCCAAGAGGGCTGTATGATTCTCACAAGCCCCGACGCCGGGCAGCTCCCTCTCCGGTCCCGCCCGGCTCCCGGCGCGGAGCTGTTCTGGGAGCGTTCCCTCAGCACCGGCCCCTCACCGACCGCGGGGAGGCGGGGCCAGCAGCAGTGACCAATGAGAAGCCGCGGCTCATCTCTGACTGACAGGCCACTCCACCCAATGGGAGCCTTCACTTGAGCAAGGCGGTGACACTTGGGGGGCTCTACTATCTCCGCCCATTGGCAGGAGCTGGGGCGGGGCACCACCCCTGGGCGGGGCTAAGGCCCCCCGGGGGGCGTGGTTTGGGGCGGTATATAAGCCTAGTGCGGCGCCTTTTCCCCTCTCAGTGGGCGCCGTGTCGCTGGCGGTGCTATTCGTGTTTCGAGTCTGTGCGCAGCGCTTGCCGCCGCCTAACAGCTATTCTTTTATTGTGTGCGCGGGCCCCGTCTTGCCTGGGTCAGCGGCTCCCGGGGCGCGTCTCTTCCCCATCTTTCCTCCTTGTGCGCTTCCGCAGAGTGATTTGTTCGCGCCTCTTGCCCGCTGAGGGGGGGCGTCCCCCCAGCCCGCGCCCCTTTTCTTCCCCCCTCCTGGCCGGGGGCTTGCGGCGCTTCCTTCTGGATGCGTTCCCGCAGCCCCGGGCGGGAGGCGGCCAGGGGGAAGCGCTGCCTCCGAGGATTTACCGCCGCCTGGGACTTGGGCTCGGACCCGCTCCGTCCCTACGGGCGCACCCGGCGCCCCGGCTCCGCTGCCGCTCCGGGCCGCTGCCATGGACGAGAAGTATCTGCCCGAGCTGATGGCGGAGAAGGACTCGCTGGACCCGTCCTTCACCCACGCCTTGCGGCTGGTCAACCAAGGTGAGGGGCGGCGGGGCGGAGCGGGGAGCCTTGTCCCGCGGTGGGGACGGGCCGGAGTGAGCGGCGGATGCTGAGCCGGAGGGGTTTGCACCGCTTGGAGGGGTTTGTTGTGCTCAGGCTCATGGCGAGGTTCTCAGTGAGGGGTTCACCCTTGCCTAGCACCGCTTGGCGGGGTTTGCTGTGTTCCGGCTCTCGGTGTTTTCCGGCTGCCGGCGCCTTCCCCTTCCCCTGCCGGGCGGCATCGCCCGGGCACCGCGCACGCTGGGTGTCTTCCCGCGCTGCCCCTCTGCCATCGGGGCTTTCTCTGCCCTCGCTCCCTGCTCGAATTATGCATTATTCCGAAATGAATGGCTCTGTAAGACCTCCGTGTTCTGCGATGCTCTGCTCGGGCTGCACCCAGAAGGTTTTCCCCGTTTCTATTTTACCCCGTTTCTAAACAATGAAAGCCGGTTGTTTACATGCGTGTGAGCCTTCTTAAGAACGAGCCCACTACCGATGGCCTTTCATAGAAACTTTGGGCTCTGCGGCTAAGATATTAAGAAACCAATGACACATTTTAGTAAACCTTTTAAAAAGCACAAAGCATATTTTGTTTTGCAATTATATAACTCCAGATAATAAATTACTCCCACCCCTTCTGTATCAGTCATGTCAGTTGTGCTTTAAAGTGCTAGCTTTTTGTTTCAGTGATGCAATAGTGACTATAAAAGTCATTCTGTGTGAATTAAAAATGATTTAATGTACGTTTGGAGATAGTGTATAATTCGCAGGTGACTTTCAAGTACAGCTCTGGAGAGACAAATGCTTGATCTAGCGCTTAGGATGCTCAAGTGAAATAAGTAATGAACTGATCCTCTAATACACCAAACATAGTGACAGCCAAAATTATTTTGCCTTCAGTTGCAATGATTAAAAAGCCGTACTTGGTGTGCTTTACATCCTATGGCAGGAACAAGTTTGATGTGGGTTCTTCTAATGCATTGTAGGTTTTGATGTGTAATAGATGTGAATGCCTGTCCCAGAATCAGAAGGGGAATTACTATTGTCTGAAATACTCTGGAGTTAGGGGTAGCTGTCACAGTTTCAGCTGTGGAAATGCATATGCTAAGTGATTTGAAGGTCCATGTCTATGGGTGGTTGGTATTTTGCATATTTTTTCAAACTTTGAATCTGTAAAAATGTCCCTGTTGATTGTGGGAAAAGGAGAATCATGTTAAAAAAACCAGTTATTTGCTGTGTTTGCTGTAAATGAAAAAAACTTTTAGAAATTAAACTTGATGGCTACACATTATTGAAGTTCCTCTCTAGGTAGTGAAGAATCTTTTTGCATGTGTAAGTTATTCCAGGGAGTTATAGAAGTATGCAATTTATTATTTTATAAACAGTGTTAAAGGAAGTAAATTTGTCCTTTTGACTGAACTTATGATATTTTTTGAGGTTCTCATTGAAATGATAAATTGGAGGACAGAAACTTTTGCCTTTCATCATAGTATCTGCATGCGTACATTTAGCTCCAAAAAAATTATATTGTCAGTGAAAAAATGTAGATGAATGTGCATCCAACCTCTGTAATCTAGTAGGCGTCTTGATTTTTTGTTTACTTTGAAAGTGAAGTCTTGGATTATATCTAAACTGTTAGATGTAGGGAAAAGAGAGATTGAGGTTGACTAATCAACTGGTTAACTGTAGTTTAAAATGGAAATTTGTATAATATTTATATAAAATAGATAGTTTAATTGTAGAATCACCAAAGAGCCAGATAAAATCAAGTGACTGTATAATACAGGTGGGAAATGCGACTTTAGGAGGGGGTGTTTTACAAACCCATCCTGCCATGACACTAACTTTATCCGAGACTGGTTTTTTCTCAATTGTAAATAATTCTATGCACTTAAATGAATGACAGTTATTAGTGGAAATGTATGTGTAATGGTTCTGGCTTGGATTTTGTGAGCTGAGACCACTGAGTATTTTCTATATTAGTTCACGTGGAGGTAAATGAAGTAGCTTGTCTAATTTTAACTGGATTTGTTTATCCTTTAAGTTTAGAATGAAATGGGTTTCCAAGTTTGGCTTCTTTTGGGTATCTGTGAGAATGTCTTAGCAAGGGTTTTAAGTGCTTTAAATAACCAGCTTAATTATGTAATAGCATTTTGGTCTTAGTGGTATTAAATTTGCTGTCTGTATTTACTTAAACTGAAATACTGTACATCAGCTGGCTTTCTTCAGAAGCTACAGACTAATTTATAGGAGTTTTATGGATGAAGGAGAATCCTTCTGAGATGCTAAAGTAGTTCAGGTGTGTTTACTGTTCAGACAGAAGAGCCAAATTGCTAATGAATTTCCAGTCATGTTGAAATCTGGTTTCTAGGGAAAATCCTGGGTCTAGACTTCTGAAATCTGGTAATTACAGTTTTCAAATAGAAGTGGGTGAATTTGCATATTATGCTTATAATTACACATTATAATTTGTGTACACACAAATTACATAATTTTAAATTTTAAAAGTGGAGCTTGACCTGCTTCAAGTTCCTGGGTAATATTTCAGTTAAAAAAGAGTAATGTGGATATAACTAAGATGCTGTAAGAATATTTTTGTGGGCGTTATTATTGATCTGTCTTTCTGAATTAAGATATGACAGAAATTTCTCTGCCTTGAAGTCTTGTTTTTAAAGCACTAAAATCAAATATCAGCATCCGACAATGTTCCTGCATAGTAAGTCCTGATTTTTCTTGTTGAGAACTCTGTTCAAGGATTTGATGCCCTGTCTCATCACGACACAAATACAATACCTATTGCTTAATTTTTGTTTTAAACAGTCACTGAAACATTTAGCTGCTGCTTAAGTTTTAGAACAGAATCTTTTCCAGGAGACTAGACTTCATGCCCTGTTCTAATTATGATGATGTATTTGTATATTTGAACATTAAGCCATCCTAAAAAGGGGATGTTTTTGCCTGTAAACTATTAAACATGTTATAGATTGGAGGTAGATTCATTTGCATGTGTAGTAAGATGACCATGCTAATAGGATTAATTTGCAGCTGGTACCAGACAGTGGGAACTGGAACATATTGTCCAGTTATTAGCTTATAGTAAGTTCTGTAAATGAAGAACCTTGGGAAAGATGAGATTCTATGAAGAAATAGCTTAGTACATTTGTATTTTTCCTATTTTCAACTCTCATGTAGTCATCTTTATGCAAAATCTGAAAAATATTTGTGGGAGTGATGGTAGTTCTGAAATCAAGCCTTATTTAGAAGGCTGACTTTGCAGTTGTGGTTGTATGTAAATGTTGGTAAATGTGCAAGTGTAATGTTGATTGTCATGACTTGGTTCATGAGTGATGCTCTAAAAATACTGAAAGATCTGTGAGAAAAATTACTTTACCTTCTTTCACATTTATTTATAGTAGTGATTCAAGACGAGCAGTTCGTGAATGTTGAATGAAGTATGTGAAACTACAGATGGAAGAAGCTAACTGTAAATAAAACATGGTGATACCAGACACATCCCTAAGAGGAGACATGAAAATGAGTGCTTGGCAGTTGTTTGGTTTGTGTAGATAATTAAATGTGTCGATAATGAAAGTTAGGGCTGCTGCCATTGCTGAAAGACAACTCTCTTGTGCAGACTGGACCTCTGAAGTTCTTCCTTACAAGCTCATTTTAGCTGCTTTGAGATTTGAGGTAATATCTGAAGTTGGCAAGGCTTTCTTTAAAATGTCAATGAGATGTTGTACAGGAATGCCAAGCTTTCCTATCAGTAGATGGCTGTATGTGCTAACTGTGTTGAATGGCTTCCCTGAGCCACATGTCTAGTGGTGATCAGCAGGGTTTGCTGTGTCTTGTGTCAGATTTTGCTTGGGAGCTCAATCAGAACTGTACCTCCCTAAATATCAGGGAGAATGGAGTGTGAGGGAATGTACCCACTTGCTGCTTTGTGGAGAATATTAGTGGTCTAATATTTTTTATTCTCAGCAGAGATGGCTTTATAAAAATGGTTGAAGTAGAAGTTTAACAGTAAATTAAGGTTTCATATATATTACTGATTTTTGTCGTGGTTTAAGCTCAGCTGGGTTGGTAGGTACTGTGTAGCCACTCGTTCCCTTTCCCCTGGTAGAATCTGGAGCAAATTGAAATGTGATACAACTTGTGGGTTTAATGACTGAAATAAAGTAAAATATAATTATACTGGAAATGAAAAAGAGGAATAAAACCCAAGAGAAACAAGTGATGCATAGTGCAGTTGTTCCCCATTTGCTGACTGATGCCCAGACTGTCCCTGAACAGCAATCAGTGGCTCTGAGTCAACTCCCCCCAGTTTATATACTGGGCATCCATCCTGTGGTGTGGAATATTCCTTTGTCCAGTTCAGGTCACCCCTCCTGGCTGTGCTCCCTCTGGGCTTCTTGTGCACCTGCTCCCCAGCAGAGTGTGAGACACTGCAAAGTCCTTGATTTAGAGTAAGCACTACTTAGCAACAACCACAACATCACTGTGTTATCAACTCTTATACTGAATCTGAAGCACAGCAGTGTACCAGGCACTAGGAAGAAAATTAACTCTATCCCAGCAAAAACCAGGACAGCCTTCAATAAAGCTGTCTAAGTATGCAAGGAGTTTCGTGTTTTTCTTTAACTTACCGAAAATAAATGTAATTGTGTAGTGACATATGTTGTAACATAAGTAATCAATTTGCCACTGGTGCATCCACTTTCCTGTGTGGATAAGTTTGATGGCACAGACACATGGTGCTGCTCGTTCCCAGTCACTAATGGTGTTGAATATACTCCATCAATGTAACCTCAAGCTCTCCTTTTTGTCATTATATAGCAATCACAGAGACAATACTTGTTTCAAGTGTCCTGCTCTTTGAGGATTTCAAAGCACTTCATGAAGGTCATAGGTGTTTTGAAAATGAAACATGACTGCAGAAAGCTGATGGTGTTTTAAAATTATTTGGAGCATTGTATAAAATATACTATATTTTGTGCTCC